CGCTCTTCCTGTTTGTGAATTTACATGTTCCAGAAGACAAATACATGAGAAACGTTTGCACAAGCATGGAGATGAAATATGCATCCTCTCCTTTGTTATTTCTTAGTGTGTGTATGTGTGTGTAAAAGGGTAAAAGCAATGTACCATTTGTGGGTGAAAAATATTTCTTAAAAGCTCCATGCACTAAATTGAAGCAATATAAAAGATGGCCCCACGAGGGGTGAGAAAGAGTGACAATTGGGAGCATGAATTTGGTATTGCATAACTTATTATCATCTCTGGTAGATAATTTAATGTTTCCCATTCTTGGTGATAAAAAAAAAAAAAGAAAGAAAAGAAAAGAGTTCATTGCATAACTTAAATAAATTAAAAGGATAGTTTTTGGAATTATTACTACTCAGTTCTTCAAGGGGATGCACACACCACTCTTCCTTCCAACCTAATTAGATTCAACTTTCACTGTTTCCAATTTCACAACTTTTTATTTTATCAAAGCACAAACCTCCGCAATGCATTTCTTGAGAAGTCGAGCACACCCATCCATGTCATAGCAATAATACAAACTCAGTGGATTTTGTTCATATCCCACACTTGGAGGAATTGTCAGCAGAAAACTGCATCAGGACCACAATATTCTAATTGATATATATTGTTTCAAAAGCCCAGTAAAAAGACATTAAAAAGAAGGAGTACACTGGTCCGGTAGTCTGAGCGACTTGGCGAGCGTCATCGGCAGAAAGGTGGCCAGGAGGTGCGTGTGCGTGGTCGAGGTCAAACAAAGCGTAGCGCACCGAGTAGCGGAAAGAGGGGTGGGCAGGGCGGCGACGTTCGTGCCAGACAGTGCCTTGGTAAAGGGAGACGGCATTAGAGGGGATGGTGGAGGAAGGGCGGCGCGTGAAGAGAGTGCGGAAGACGAGGAGGAGAGAGAGGGCGAGCGAAGTGAAGAAAGTGGAAGTGATGGAGAAGAGAAGATGGAGGGCTTCCATACTTATTAATATCGTATTTACAGTATAGATGTCTTGTTTGTGAATGGAATGGTGGTGTCCTTTTAGAGGCCTTTTTGGGTTTGTTTGTTAGTTAGTCATTGGTGAAAAAGCTTGGTAGTCGGGGCATCGGTATTTCACGGTAGGGAAATCTGTTCCGTACACACAATGGAATCTTACATGCTTGAGTTGGGTTGTCTTGACTTGTGTGGTCTAGGATTACTTATCTATAATGATAACTAGTTATTTGCTTCGTTTTTTTCCCTCTCTCAATATTACAGTACACTATGTGCTTTTTAATATAAAAAATCTTAATAACAAATAAAATAAAGTTTATACAGGTATTTAATCAAATAAATTGAGATAATTATTTATGTAATTTTGAAAAAATATAAAATTTAATTTTTAATAAATTAAAATTAATTAGTCACATCTATAACTTGAAATATAAATTTAATTGAACTAAATAATTTTTTATTTAAAATAAATATCTATTAAATTTAGAATTATTCTGAGGCAATTGGATAAAAATATCAAACTAAAATAAATTACATTGCTAAATTAATAATCAAAAAATATTTAAAAAAATTAAAAAAAACATCAAATTATGATTGGGTAAATTTTGAAAAAAAAAAAGAAATATTTTTTGATCAAGTGCTCTAGCCTGGTTGATCTAAAGCGCTTGGGTCTTTTTTTTTTTAAGGGTATCAACCCTTTTTACAAAAAACAAATATATGCAATGTGTAACCAGTCTTATTCAAATTATAGCAACATTTGGTTGTTAGAAAATGGGACTATGAATTTTCAAATTAAAAATCCATTATCAACCATATTTCTACCCAAAATACACCCTTAACACCTTGTAAAATATATTCATAGCTAAAGAACCCAAAAAAAATATTTGAAAACCCAAAACTAAAATTATTTGTTAGCTCAAATCTATAAGCAAGTTCAAGGGAAAAAAAAAAACCTAGGATAAACTCTTTCTATTGAAAGGAACTCATTAACACCAAAATAACTTTTTTTATGGATTTAATGGGTGTAAACAATGACTTTCTCTCTCTATTTCTAGAATCTTACCACTTTCCTTTTCTTCTCTCAAACCAAAGAAACAAAAAAGTAGTTTGAGTCCAAAATTGACCTTGTTTTTAATTTTAAAAAATTGAAAGGACCACATTTTTATAATTGGAAAAGTTTGGAGATTAAAATGCATATTTTTCATAAACTTTGTTATAGTCACATATTCCCTCTATGATTTACACTATGGTCCCTTCTTTTTTAGTCTCACAATTTCTTAACAAATTAACCCAAATTAACCTCAAATTTGGCAATTTAAGAGTGAAATTTCAACTAGAAACGTTAGATTTTATAAATTCTAATAAATATGAAATTTACACAAATCTTTGACAACATTTGAATGGCATCCTTGTAAATTTTTTACCATCATCTAATCCAAAGAATATTTGGAAGTATTAATGACACGACTAAAAGATTGATGTCTTCTCCCAAATGTAGGAGTGTCGAAGTAATAAATAACCCGGTAAGACCGGGGTCGAACCACAGGGAGGTTAATTGTACAAATTATAAATAACAATAAAACAACAATAATAATAACAACAACAACAATAATAATAGTAATAACAATAATAACAACAATAATAGTAGTAGTAGTAGTAGTAGTAGTAGTAGTAGTAATACTAATAGTAATAGTAATAATAATAATAATAAAGGAGAAGAAGAAGAAGAAGATGAGAACTTTGAGATGAAATATTAACGTAACGATTAAACAATGATAATAACAAATGTCAAGGTTAGAGGATCCACTAATGGTATGTCAAACAAATATAGTATAAACTTTTATTATTCAATTGAAAACCACACACAAAAGAGGTTCCAATCTGATTATAGATTGTTAACATGATTATATTAGTCATCTTATTCGATTAATGCTAATACTTGTAAATCTCGTCAAGCATTCATGATTATAACTTATGTTAACAACAAATCAAGTTCCTTTCATAGCTCAAGTGTCGGTTATACCATACAGTATGAACTATGAAAGTGTCAAACATTTGTTGTACCAAGTGTTATACAACATAAATCAAGATTAGTCATTTAACAAGCAAAGTATTAAAGAGTGAACAAGATAACAAATACAAAACATGTTAGTATCAAACATTAAAGTCCATATTGAGTTTACACTATACTTATTCTTACACCATTAGTGTAACCTTTTCACCTTGACATAATAAACTTAGCTAGACATAATAAAAGAAAGAAAAATAATAAACAAAATAAGAACATAAATAAGGTAAGAGTTAACTAAGTAAAGGAAAGGAAATGAAAGGCATAAACTTGATATTAATGAAAGCAAAGCATAAACATTACAAAAAATACAAAGAAAAAAAGTAAGAGCATGATCTTGATCTGGAGACCAAGATGCCTAAATGCATGGCAAATGCCTCCTTTTATAGGCCAAAATTGGGAACTATTGATTTGATGACTAATTGATGAGTGGGTAGCCAACTCTTGACTTGATAGCAATCTTTATCTTCTCTTGTCTGCCCAAAACGTCATTGATAACGTCAAAATTGGAGTCACTTGAAACATGAAAGTTGTAGGAAATTATCTCAGCTTTCTTGACAAAAGATTCACATCAACATTTTCGGTGCTTTTTTCATCCATGATTTCTTCCTCGGAATACATCATTTGCAAATCTTCAGATTCATCCAACTCATTTTTACTTAAAGTAGATTCAAGTTGATCATAAACTAATTCGTCAATATGATCTACTTCTTGTAAATCATTATCATTTCCAGGTTGCTTGCAAATATTGAAAATATTCATCTCCAACGTCATGTTTCCAAATGATAGCTTCATCAATCCATTCCTACAATTAATCAATGCGTTAGAAGTTGCAAGAAATGGACGTCCTAAAATAACAAGAAATGAATTACATGCTTTAACAGGTTGTGTGTCCAAGACAACAAAATCCACAGGATAAATGAATTTATCGACTTGTACTAACACATCTTCAACTATTCCTCTAGGCACTTTTACAGATCTATCGGCAAGTAAAAGAGATATAGAAGTTGGTTTTAACTCACCTAGATTGAGACTTTGAAAAACTGAATATGGAAGTAAATTCACACTAGCACCAAGATCAAGTAAGGCTCTTTCAATTTTATGCTCTCCAATAAAGCAAGAAATTGTAGGACAACCAGGGTCTTTATATTTCAAAGCATTATTGTTTTGAAGAATAGCACTTACTTGTTCGGCTAGAAAGGCTTTCTTTTTCACATTCAGTTTCCTCTTCACAGTGCATAGATCTTTCAAAAATTTAGCACAGGAAGGAATCTGTTTAATAGCATCTAGCAAAGGTATATTGATTCTTACCTGTTTGAAAGTTTCAAAGATTTCAGAGTTGTGATTGACTTTTCTTTGTTTGGTCATGGCTTGAGGAAATGGAAGTGCTGGCGGAGAATCAGTCTTTTCTTTGCAATTTTCAGATTCAACCCCTTCCTTACCCTCAGAGATTGACTCATCATCTTTCTCATAAGGTTCAAGAGAGGGTTTTTCAATAACCTTACCACTGCGCAGAGTAGTGACTGATTTGACTTGATCCAGGTGGTGGCTTCCGGAACTACTTGCATTTACATTGTATTGCCCCTTGGGATTTTATTGTGGTTGAGATGGAAACTTACCTTTCTCTTGGAAACTAAGAGCAGATGTTAATTTTACAAGAGTATCTTTAAAATCTATCATGTTTTGAGCAAGTTGAGTATTGATTGTCTCTTGCTTTTCAATGAATGCATGCAATGTTTCCTCAAGATTTCTTCTAGGAGGTGAAGCATAAAGAGGTGCATATCCATGAGAATTTTGAAAATTATGGTGTGCTTGAAATGGTGGTTGTGAATTTTGTGCATTGTTACTATCACTCTTCCAACTGAAATTTGGGTGATTTCTCCAACCAAGGTTGTATGTTTGCGAGTATGGGTTATGGTTGGGCCTTTGGAAACTGTTTAAAGCATGGGGTTGTTCATGGAGACATTCCTTAAAAGAAGGCAAGGTTGGACAGTTATTGGTTGAGTGTTCATTTGTTTCACATATTTGACTCACAATGTTTTCAATAGATTTTAATTGACCACTCTTTTTCAATTCTAGTGCCTCGAATTTTCTA